CCCTCAATAATTGTGTTTATAAATAAAATACTTATGTATGTACAGTATATGTGTATATATCAAGTTGTTTGTGGGCTCGTTCTTTTTCATTATTGTTTTCCTTAAATCACTTAGCAGAGCCATTTCAACATTTCCAGCTCATTAAGAATACGGTGCCTCATTTCATCTCATCCTCGTTTCATTATCACCACACCGGACACCACTGACACCGCTCTCCCTATATATTATGTTTTATTAAGTTTATCGTGTAAGCTTCACAGCCCATTAGGTACACTTCGTTGTTTTAGCGATTACAAAAACCTCATAACGTCAAGCTATGAAACATCGGATTTAAGCACAAAACGAAATGCGCATGAGCAACATTAATCTCGCCAAGGAATTTTTAATTCCAGTTGTTCGAGTGTATAAAAAATATCATTTTACATTACTATAAATACATGGTTCGTCAGTGAACAATAGGGTTACTTAATTAGCGCTCTTTATTTTGTACTTTGAATGGAAACTGTAAGGTAAATTGTGCGTGAGTAAAGTGACCTCCTTTAGATGGTATAATAAAAATGGCTGAAATTCTTCAAGGCTTATTAAGAAACGAATGGTTCGCTGTACGTTAATCAGTTTTATGTTTGTTTATGATATCGGTAATGCTTTTTGTTCTTGTAATTACAAGTCGACCGTGTTTAGAGCGTGTTGGCTGGATCTAAACCTTGCTATTTCTATTATTATTTGTTATCGTTGCCTACAAACGTTATATTCTTGAGTATACGTACATATGTAACAGTAAATTGTGTGAGCTTATAAAAGTAATAAAAAGCAAACAAAGCTATATATATCGAGGGGTGTCAACAATGTTATGTGATATATAATATAAAATTAAATAGACGTTAAAAAAATGATATGTCATTAAAGCGACGAAGTATCAACAAAGATTTTTTTTGACCCAATGAAAAGATAAAATATAATGCTGGCCAAATGTCATATTAAAAAAGCAATAAATAATAAGAACAATTGTGCCGAACCGGTGTTAGGAAGCGTTTCATCTCTTTATCTAAGGGTCGTGTACGCTTTGTCGCTGTCTCTCTCCAACCAATTCACATTGCCTTCGTTTGATAGAGCAAGCATATAAGCTATTAGCATCTGTATATTTCGGGAGCTCTAGTAACAAACCTGTTGGCATCCTTTTCCATCGAAGAAGTCATTAATCAGTAAGACCGAGACGCATTAAATTAATTCAAGAAAAGTTTAATGCTACAGAATTATAAGGGAACAATCAAACACAGGAGGTGATGTTTTCTTTGCAAATAATTCAAATTATATAAAAATGATGCTTAATTATAGGTATGTGTTACAATAAAAGTCTGATGCTTGTGTAATTAATAGTTTTTTTTACAAACACTGGCAACTCTAATTCCATTTGACATGGACGTAATGTGTTTTTATTTGTGCTATAAAGCTATTATGTCAGTCAAAAATAGTTCGTATATTCATATAGATTAGATTAAAAATCTTTTGAAGTATTTAGGATGTGAATTTAATAAAATTGTGGGTTGGGGTGATCGGATTAACGACAGAATAGTAATTCGGCTTTCATTTAAAATGTAAATATTTCTTTTAATACATCCTTTTTATATACATGTGAATATATATACCGTAATTAAAATATTTTGAGTATTTTATATATGTATGAGCCGTCTATTAATTATAAATGGATAGCAAAATGAAACTGTGTAATTAATATGCCAAGCTGAATTGTCGTTTGAGACGCTCTTATTACAATGACAATAAGGTCCTGAATTCTAGTTCAATGGTGCTGGATTCTCAAACGTGCATAAATGTTTACGGCCCATTCTTGTATTTAATTGCTGTTTAAATAAAAACGTACCGTGAAAGCAATGGGACATGACAGAAAAAGCTTAAAATTTACTTATATATATAATTTGCTACACGTACATATACTTTAAAAACAGAAAAAACATTATTCAACTCAGTAATATAACATATATACCTATTTAAGGTTTCATAAATGTTTCATTTAAATGATTTTCTTTTTAATTATTCACGAGCCTCAAAAAAATCATGGTAAAATAATAATCACATCATAAATCATATTTATTTTATCTATTAGTGTCAGAATATCATAATTATTATACACAAATAGAATTAAAAACTTGTAAATTATAAAATATAACAGGTGATGAGAACTTAATATTAATGTTGATAGTAATAAAAATAAAAAAATATATATATGAACAAGTATATTTTTTTGTTGGATTACGTTCAAAACGGAAATAATATAGATAGGATAATTTGTCTGTTATCTTCAAATATACGTTTTATTATATATAAAGTTGTTGTATGTGTAAGCGTCCTTCGTATAATATAAAGATGGCTGTTTTTTAATACATCCCGATCACTATACGATACACGATATTATTCAATGATACCACATTGATAAACCGAATCTCTATCCAAAATGTATATGGCCGCCTCAGATTTCTTTTGTGACGACGGTGAGTTTACGATATGAGAAAAAAAAAACAACGCAACGACCGCCCATAACTAAAATTAAATTAAACTTTAATCAGATATGTATATGTTTTAACATTGATGTCATTTACTTAATTAAATGATTACGTTTTCATTACATTTAGATAGCAATTGTTTTAATTTGATAGCATCATATTAAACATCTATTTGGTGCGTCGTCATATATATATATATAAAGTAAATGGAAAATAATGAGAATAATCCCCCCAGCGTTAAGGGGACTCATCTTATCTGTAAGATAGTGAAAGTATACCACGTCACGCACGTACTGAACATCGGCTGTAATCTTTATTAACACCATTCACCATTTTAATAAACCCCAAAGAGATAACTTACATTAATATTAAATTTAATAAGCCGTTATCAAATCAAATAAAAGGGCTTATTAATTTAACGCACTCAAAGATAAACATTTAAATATTGTGCGACGAATGTACTGTACGAATGTAATTAGGAATTTTGATATTAGATTAAAATATATTTTTACCATACATTATATTGTTGTAAAGAGAAATGTATGTTGTGATTGTAATAATATTTATACAAGTTGCTAATACTAGTTGATTTAATATATAAATTTAAATGTAATAATTGTAGTTTATGTATTATAGGATTGTGTCCGATTTTGTTTCATGATATCATTGAATGTAAACTCATTGTGCCCACCGATAAATAAATGACAATTAGCTTTGAGCTATTCTGGTAATTCATTGATTTCAAACCAATTTATGTAGACCTCTATGGCATATTTTATACATTTATATATTTTTTTTGTACACGTCAAGACGAGGGTATCATTTAATATATGATTTGTATATATAATAATTTTCTTTATTCACAATAGAACAAAAACGTGTATAATTTAAAAACAAGTGCAGAACATATTTAACGGCTTGTAATTGCAATGTGTTACTGGAACTAATAGTTATTGGACATACCTACTCGGGTCTGTTTAACAACAACCGTTTAGCATTAATATGGTGTTTTTTTTTTGTTAAACGAAATTAATATTATATTATTTATATCTCAGTTTTTAATTTATGTTAAATTTAAATTGAATAAGTGTGTTTTGATGTAATTAATCATCTTCTATATATATAAAAATGGATTGCTGTTCCTTAGTCTCGCTAAAACTCGAGAACGGCTGAACGGATTTGGCTAATTTTAGTCTTGAAATACTCCTGGAAGTCCAGGAAAGGTTTAAAAGGTGAGAAAAATTGGAATAATTGAAGGGAAAACCCTAAAAACAGTCCTTTTCTATTTCCCATACAAACGTTTTTTTTGACATTACATTTGACAACTAACTAATATGTCAATCATTCTGTTTGATTAAAACAGGAAAAACCTGATTATTTATAGCCTCTAAGACGGAATAGAGTTCGCCTGGTCAGCTACACCTACATATATTACTCTTGACCAAACTAACGCGAACGAAGTCGCGGGCCAAAACTAGTAAGATAATATTAATTAAGCTGAGTGACAGAAAATTTTGTAATACAATTTTATACGTTGTGAAGAGAGGACGTTATAAAACATAACTTGTTAAGTATTTTTTTTACTATTAATTGTTAATTCGTCTTATTGAATAATGAATTAAATATTAAAATACACTGACACAATTGAGATCTTTTTACATTATTATTATTAATTATATCACTGTTTTTCTTATATTAAATATCTTTTATGTATTTAGCATGATAGTATTTTCTTTAGCATTAAAATAAACTTTTGTAAGATGAGGATAAAGTAAGGATTTTAACATTTTTAACACACAACGCTTTGTCTTGTCTAAATCACTTTTGTATCTTTTTTTATGTAATAATGAAATATATTTTCCGTAATAATTATAGCAAATAAATTAAGTTACTTTCTTAATTTTAGAAATTAACATTCATAGACTCTACATTGGAAGCGTTTCAAACATAAGAAATGATAATAATTTCTAATACAAAAGTTCTTCTTATATGCTCTCTACATTTATTTTAGTTTAGATTGTTCATAATTTTATCTTTATTATATATTCACTTATGTGTTTTTGGAACAAAGCAACATTTATAATTACATATAACTTTCTAAAACTTTTGTGACTTGAATTAATCTATAAAACGTATGTGAACAGGTATAATTAATTAAATTCGTCTACAAGGTGTAACATAATGTAGAGCTAACATTATTTGGAAGCGCTAATCAAATCTGTACAGATTGTAAACACATACCGGCATGTAACAATCACATCCTCCGTACGATTAAGATTTCTAACATTTTATTAAGCTATATAATTATTTTTCCGATAGAGTTCCGTACCTCGTACATAAACTAACGAACACCAGGCTACCGGACGAGCGAGTAACACAAACAGCCGTACATAACACTATCCGATAGAATTATACTAAGGATAACCAGCGTTAACATATACACAGACACAAATGATCGCTCAGCTCGCACAGTTACATTACCGTACCTGATTGGGCGGCGATCCGCGGAAGGCGAACTGGGACGTCATATTCACTTAGTCCGTGGTACAGTCTCACATTAAACTCACTCACATCACAGTATCAGCGGAGTCAGTCAGTCGGTAGGTCGGATGGATCAAGTCATGTTATATGCCGGTGGTCGGAGCGCGTGGTGCGCGCGGTCGCCTGTCAGCGGCGGCGGGTAATGCGGTAGCCGGCCGCCAGGTGATAGTAATCGCTCGGTCTCCGGTCTCCGGTCTCCGGTCTCCGGTCGCCGGTCGCCGGTCTCTCGCGCCGTCTCTCTCGACGCACACAGCGACTGTGCGTCGAGACTCCTTCTTTCCACGCTCGACGCTCTGACCCCGGACGATTTTTGCGCCGGGTGACGCCCGCTGAGGGGCCGCCCGGAGTGGGGAGCTGAACTCCTTCCTCTTTTTTTTTTGATGCATCTCTTTCTTTTCACGTATTTTTTACACCGTCGTCGCTATGGAGCGGTCCCTTTTATTTGATTTTATACTTATGTATTGTGATAATTAACAGTGAGGACGCGCGAGTCTTCGCGGTCCACTAAATAATAGCTTTGCATGTCATTAAAGGTAAACAGGATGTTTTCATAATTATCGTTTTTTTTCTTTATTTGTATTTATCAATAGCCTTCTGGTTGTATGTAGAGCGAGTTAGTTGCTGTGGTCTGTTGTGTACTCTATGTGTTATACATATTAGCGGGGCTTAGGTGGTGGCATCGTGTTAGCGGTGACAGTATTAAACGGTCCCTCCAATGTGTTACTCCCTACTCTATCTGTATTGCGGACGATGTTATGTTGAAATTGTTACCCGATACACACTTGATTCTCGATTCTGTACGATACACCAATTTTATATCAAGCGTTGTATATATTGACTACGACGGCTCTTTATACAATATTTGTTGATTTCAATAATGAATATCGAATGGACGGTGTTGAATAGAGATGTTACTATTAATAATATAGACATGGATATATATTATTTTTGTGTTTAAAAAAATTAAAATAAATGTTACTTTTGGTATTAGTAACATTGTGTTAAATCCATTAATCATAGAAACGGATTATTATATCATACCAAGAATCGTCATGAAATATTATATATATATATATATATATATATATATATATATATATATATATATATAATATATATATGTTAAATATAAATATTAATATATATATGTATGTATATATATAAATATATTTATTATATAAAACTTAATATCCAGACTTCAAAAGATACAGAATCAAACCGAAGACGTTGCACTACAATTAAACTACAATAAGGCAACCGAGTGTCGAAATAAAAGCGCAACGTCGATCGATCTGTTCCCCTCTTCTTTCTTATCGCGCGAATATTTCACACTGAACGCAAAAAACTCACACAGATATAAAATATTCAAACGGTATAACATAAAATAAATTATCTTAGGTGTGTTGTGTGTGTGCGTGCCCCCACCCCTGGGCGGGACGAGAGCTCGACCAATCAGCGACGCCGGCGCGCGACTCTAACGGCTCATTCAACGCGTAGCAACCGAATGGATAGCACGCGTTCACACAATCACATCACATTTGATGATATATTTTTGCTTCATTACAAAAGATGTTACTAACATGTCAACTACAAAAATTTTTGGTTGCATAGAAATTAATTACATGTATGAAGAAATAGCGAACCGAATATATTTAGTTCCGTTCAGATTATCAGTGGTCTCACCTCGAACAGCTTACACGGTTCGAGCAATTGAATTAATTTTGCTTTAAATATATTTATTTTAAACTAAAACCTTTTTTGTACCGTTTAGTTACCAACTATTAATTGATTACCATATGCTGTACATTTTAGTACCAATAAAAATATGAACTTTTCAAGTGACGATTATTTAAGGAACTTTAAGTAATAATTTCTGCTTAATAGTATTGATAATTTAATTTATACTGTCAATATTAATATGATGTGTGATATAATAATTATATTGAATACATTGAACACCGGCTTATTACGAATTCATGTATTTATGTATCAAAAGTCATTTGGACGTCCATTACAGTTTAACCCCTGGATGGGGTTAAATATACCCTTGTCTGGGAGGATGTATGTTTGTGGCAGCGTGGCGTGCCATGGCTTACTCGAATATTGTTGCAGTTTTGTTTTTAATAATTATTATACGTATAATATTCGTTAAGTAATATTTATATTTTATGTAGAGTCTTATTTTTTTTTTGTATTTCAAAGAATCCGTCTCCAACTCTTGTTAGATTATTTTAATAGCTCTCCGTATATTTCCGTTTGATATAATTCAAGTTCGATTACAGCATCCACTATAAATAATCGTTGATATAAAATGTTATTGCTATCAAATAAAAACAATGGTATAACCTCATTTATATAGCAGATTTTCATTAAAACATTCGGTATTTTAAATAAATGTAACAAATCGTATAAATTGTTCATTCTCTGCGCTAATAAAATTAAAAGCAATCAAAGGACAAACCTTTGATACTATACATTTATATTATTATAATGAACATTAATTAAAGTCGTTCAATAAAACTCTATTGCGTATAAATCAAGTTTAAATTTGGTTTTTGCTGTGATTTTGCTTAAAGGTATATATTTATCATAAGTAATGAAAGTAAAAGATCCATATCGACTATTGTTTTTTTAAGGTATTTGTATATATGTATTTGTGCGTGTGTGAATGAATGTGGGTGTGTATACGACTACACGCGTGTAGTCATGTGTGTGTATCATAATCTCACAACAGTCAAAAGCTTCACCTCATAGTTCAATGCCAAAAGTCATTTCATTGTTACCTGGGAGTTTCTTACGCATTGTACCGGGATTAAAAATTGTTGAATCCAATCAGATTATGAAATCATGTGACTTATTCGGATAATAATTATATTGGATGATAAAAAATAATAATTTGGCAGTTGATACAAAAAACTTATATTCATACTAATATTACCGGATACAGATATTTATAGTAGAATATTTTTACTAAATTCCATCATCGTAAGTAGCGACGACTCAGCCCAGATCCCAGCGGTCCAGATCAAAGGCTGAAATAAATTTTAAAACGTTTTGATATAAATATAATATCTTATAACAATATAGCGAAGTACGCCACATGTGCATCCACTGAATTAGAATATCGGCGTCTTAAAAGAGAAGATTATTTGCTTTTGTCAAATGAGTTTCCACGCGAGGATCTTAATAATGCCTCAAACACATTCAAATATAGAAAGCCCCTATCTACATACGTCCTATGGCGAATGCAAAAGTGATTTATATTGAGACCCCATTCGATTGAAGTAGATTACAAATAATGAATAAAATTGCATACGAAATGAGAGAGACCGTCCGCGAGTGTTCGCTTGTTTGAACTGGGAGCTGGGTTAGCTTATTGCAGGTAAATAGAAGGCTTCGTAGACACAAGACACGACTGCCGGCTGTTTGTCGCAAGTGAGAGATGTATGAAGATGAGCTGTTTTAATAACCTTTAATAAATAATGTTGATCATAATGTAACATATTTTTTTACTAATATTAACATAATTAGATACTATAATTATAATCGTTTCCTTCTATTTAATAACTTAAATTTAACATAATATGATACAAGAAATAATAGAATATAATACAAGAAATGGAACTAATGTAAACTGATTTAATATTAACTTCTAACTGAACATAAAACCAACTAGTTATAATTGGCCGGAATCTAAACATCACAAAAATACCCAATTTACAGTTTCCAGAAGTTATTATATGACCTACTATGCTGTAAAGAATGAGACTTTTCCTTAACTCCTATGTGAATACTGAAGTTTTTATTATGAAAATTTCATGTAACTTTTATTACGAACGAAACCAATTTAAATAAAATACTTTGAAAAATGTATATCTATATTATACTTTGTTAGATAGAATTGACAACTATAAAACATTTGTATAAGATATTAATTAGAATTGTATTTACATGTAGGTACATAAGTATTAAGAAAAAGGTATAAGAAATTCAATGTTATTACAAAGTTACATTTGTTAATATATATGACTGTTGTAATATTTTTATTTGTGAACAACTGACCTTTAATGTATTGCTGTACTTAATTGGTTTTGCAGTGAGAAATTAGTTTACTTGTTTCTTGGACCAGATTGTGTTAAATTTGTCGATATTAAAAGCAAAAGTCGTAGTTTTATTGTAAGAAGTAAATGCTACGACTGCTTTAAAAATCATTTTTTTTTATTTATTATAAGATCTAAAACGTCCTTTGACTTCAGCCGTTACTAATGTATTATATTCTATTGATTAATTAGAATAATGTCGCAGTTAAATTTGGGAAGAAGTAATTTTTTAAAGAAATTTGTCCGTCATGTTATATACATATAAAGGCGTCTCCAATGATGTTGAGATTTAAATTATCTTATTAATTGACACCAATTCAATTCCATAATTAGCATAATTCAAAGCTCAGGTATTAATATGAAATACTTTCCTTGTGCAGTTAATTACACAGTATAAGGTGTATTTCATTTTGATTATATTTTTATATTTTAACATAACAATGTTAAAAGTCCAGCGAAAGTCCAATTAATGAACTAATTAGCTATTTAATATAATATCCGTTGCTAATGATCGATACTTTTATATGAGAGTGCCATGGCAATAAAGGGGCTATCAAAATGAATCAAATGTTTCGACAAAGAAATAAAGACCATTATATAATAATTTAAGGTATAATTCAAATCGAGTCTTTACTTATACAGAGATCAAGATATATGCAGGTGTAATAATACAAGATTTTGTTATAAATTCAGTCCTTATCAGATTATTTAATTAAATTTGTAAGCAATATTTCCTGTATGAAAAAAATGGAGTAACCGAATCTAAACGGTAATTATAATTTTAATATAGAAATTAAAAAATTCAAATGTCTTTAAAGTAATATAGGTATGTCCGTTTTTTGATAAATTTTATAATTATAAAATTTATCAAAAAACGGATAAAGTAAGAATATCTGAAGTAACTTATATTGGATGTTATTAGCACCATTACATTGCTTATTCAAAATGTCTGCCATGCCTTATCGTAATAAATCTATTATAATTCATATCAAATTGCAATAGGTACCTACTGTATTATACTCAGACCGTAAAGTTAGTAAACATTTAAAGAAAGGAGACAAGTTAGGAAAACAATTTAAGGTAAAAAGAGTAACGAAAACCAGAAATGAATCAGGGAGGGCGGAGATGAGGAGGGTAACTGAGACAGGTTACAGAGCTGTTAAATTTTAGATGCGCCATAGACGACTTTATTCTAAATTAAAATGAATTAATTGATTTTTGCTATTACTTGCTTTATATGTTGAATAGGTAATAAGGTAATATAAAGAACTCAAATATAAATGACA